ATCTCAATACCTTAATTGCAGATGAGTCATTTTTTCAAACAGTTTTGATGAACACCTCCTTTGATGGCATTTTGATCAATGACGATAAACGAGCCATTATTTGGATACCCGATGGCAACATCAAACTCAGGCCCAAAACATTTACAAAAGCCGATGTTCCATTTCTTTTAGAAGGTAATCATTTATTTGCACGAAAATTCGATGACCAAGTCGATGGGCATGTCATTGACAAGATAGAGAAAAATCTTGAGCGACCTTTCATGAACGTAATACCCAACTGAAAAATCGAAGGCGAATCGAAGAGGTCACCCATTTATTTATATAAGCGCGCGAATAATGTAATCGGATAATTATTTTTATTTTCTAAACGATTTTCTGTGGTAAACTATTCGGTATGAAATTTTAAATTTTGATTACTTTGTGTTTCTGGAATTTTGTGTGGCATCAATGGTTACACGATGCGCAATAATAAATTTTAAGTATTTATAAAAAATCAATATGATGGGATTCTGTCCGGTTAAGGAGAAAGTGTTGAAGAAAATCATTGTCGTCGCCTTATCCATCGTCGTCATAGGCTTTTCAAAGTTGGCATTTGCTAACTTTCAGCACCCGATGGTCGTCACTCAAGTTGAGCAATTCAATCAAGTGTTAAAAATTGATGTGATCGCCACACCATTGTCAGTGGTGCAAGCCAAAGACCGTAAAAACCAAATCACTTTTTGCCCAATGACGGCAACCCCTGATCGACAGGTGGCGCGTCTTGATCATTATCAGTGTCAATTGTCGGCATTTAGCCTGCCTATCGAAATTAAAGCAACCCTTAAAAATGGTGATACAGCAATACAAAACATATCACAAACGTCATTAGGGCCAATGCCCACGTTAGTTGCACAAAAAATCAGCAAAACAAATAGGCAAACCACATTAATTGAAGGGAGGGTTACAGGTGCGGATTCGGTTATCGTGCAAGAGGCAAACCAAGATATTGTCCATTGTCAAGTGAGCAATCAGCAATTTACTTGTGAAAATCGTTGGCCCAATGATCTTTATGTGACCATCATTGCTAAACATAATGGTGTAGAAAATAGAGTAGGAGCGTTGCTCAATCCGGAAGGTAGACAAAGTTGGTATGAACGCTTTTTTGATCTGGCATTAAATTTTTTGTATGTCCATAAAGAAACAGAATTCAAAAAATATTCTTGGGCAAATAGCCGATCGTTACCTAACGATGCTCCCTATCAAAAATCCACACAATTCGATGATGTGAGTTTTACAGGGAGATTTGCCGTTTATAGTTATGCAGATACGTGGTATCCACAATGGGCAAGTGATGGTAACTTATATTCAGGGTTTACAGATGGTACCGTTAGAGGGCTGCGTTCGTTTTCGGCAAAGCGTCTGGATACGGGACAATTCGACCTGCATCTTCCCACTGTTGATCCATCAGTCTTTTCATTGTTTCGTTCAGCGACCATAGAGGCAACCACAGGAAATGCCGTTATTCGAGGTGATGATCCATTAAATCTTGAGGTGCAGCCCATTAGTTTGAGTCGCGCGAGCCCTTTACCCTACCAAGGTCGTTATCCAGCGGGAAGCTTGTTTGTGAACGGGGTTTGGTATTATGGAACCTACGCCTTATATCAACGCAAACTGTCCGGATCTTGGGACGAATTAGGACCCTTAGTAGGTTTTCGCTACTCCAAAGACAATGGCCGCACTTGGGTTGAAACAACCCATACGCCTAGCAACTCATTATTTGGCGAAAATCAAGGCCCTAAAGCAGGGAATGCCGTAAAAATTGGTCCAGCACATTTTGTCGATTTTGGTAAAAATATGCAAAATAGTCCTGATGGTAAAGCCTATTTAGTCAGTAATGGGAGCGCCATGCTGGGTAATCCGACACCCAGTTGGATTGTTGGCGATGATTTATTTTTGCTTCGTGTGACCCCCAGTATTGAGAACATCAATGATGCCTCAAAATATGAGTTTTTTGCCGGATATGATTCTACTGGGCAGCCGATATGGAGTCATCGTTTTCAAGAGATAAAGCCCTTTTTGTCGTGGCCAAAAAACAAATTGGGCAATGCCGCCATTACCTACAACAAGCCGCTCAATAAGTATTTCCTAACGTATTCAACCCATACGGTTCTGAACAATGATAGTCAATACGATACCGCTATCCTTGAATCGGATCGAGTGGAAGGGCCTTATCGCATGGTCAGTTTTTTAAATAAATTTGGTCCACAATCTTATTTCATGACCTTACCCAGCAAATTTATTAGTGCTGATGGATTAACCATGTGGCTGACATTTAGTGGGAACTACCTCAATCAGCCCAATACCGTGACCAGTTATATCGGTGATTCAGTTTTACGATTGCCATTTGTTAAAAATTTCGGCATTAAGGAGCCAGAAAACCCAAAAGGCTCGGAATATGGTCTTGCCATGCATGAAATCAAACTCATTTCTACCCCCCAAGCTTCATTACCGCAAAACAACCTCACTACACCGCCTGCATTAACAGGTTCAAAATGGCAAGTCACGCCAGAACAAGTTGTTTTTCAAAATGATAGTAAAAGTCAAGCAACGATTGTATTAAGAAATGATGCTGCGGTGCCGATGGAACTCACCTGGCAGGATAATCGTTCGCTGCTGGCATTTCAAGCACCCTGTTTAAAGCATCAAAAAATTATTCTTGAACCGAACAGTCAATGTGAAATGGTATTGACTTTGATAGAAAAACCTGCACAACTGACGCGTTGGTCACTCGATTTTATCGCATCGGACGTCACTAAAAGCATCATGCTGCAAGTAGATCAAAACCCTGCATTGCCTCAGGAGCAGATTGAGACTGCTGATGAGAAAGGTGGTGGTGGCTGTATCAGTCGTCCATCATCACAAGATAACGGGTTGTGGCTTTTATTGCTGCTCAGTCTTGTGTGCTTAATCGGCAGAAAATTTGCAAATGCGAATTGATGGGTCACCCATATATCACCATATATCACCATATATCACCATATATCACCGTATATCATTACCATATATTAGAACTTTGAAAATTATCCGATAACGGCAAATATGTAGTGCCCAACAAAAAATAAATAGCCTTATCAATCGATAGTTTATTTAAATTAACCGTTGGAGTCGGGAAACGTTAGCGTACATTTCACAAAATACTTAGCATAGCCAATCGGAAGGATTGGCTGAGGGAGAACAAAGGAGAACTATCGAAATTGCAAAAGCCTTAAAAAAAAGAATGGCATTGCGGTAGAAATGATTGCACAATCAACAGGCTTATCGACTCAAGACACTGGAAAACCATAATTTTCAATATGTTGAACACCAAACACTTCCACATTTTCATCCATCTGAATTTAACAAGCCGTTATAAGCCAAGCGATTTGAATACAATCCATGGGTGGCCCCCTTTTATCTGACCTAATTGATCCCTAACCTTACACCAGCATGACCCAAGTCGCTATTTCGCGTAGCACTTTGATAAATAATGGGTATTTATAATGTCTTGGGGGGATAGAACCCACTACTGTGGATGACGCAGAGCCCCCGTTTTGTCCCGAAATCGTTTTCGGGTTCACCATTATTGGTATCGAAATAAAAAATCTGCCACTTAGCATTGAACGCACGCTAAATACAAATGGGCACGAGCTAAAGGCTACATTAACAAAATTCCAGTTGAAAACCCACATTCATCACTATGATAAATTGTGAGTTTAAACTCAAAAATCGCCTATCACAAACCAAAAACTAGATCAACCTTGCTTTAGTGCTTACCGCTCGAGTAGCTCTAATTTGTTAGGTTTGTCTTTCCATTCGTCCGCGTCGGGTAAGGCTTCTTTAGACTCAGATATGCGCGGCCAGTCACGTGAAAGCTCAGCGTTGAGCTTAATATACATCCTTTGCTCAGGCTCTAAGTTGTCTTCGGCCAAAATTGCATCAGCAGGGCATTCAGGAACACAAACGGCACAGTCAATACACTCATCCGGATCAATTACCAGAAAATTCGGGCCTTCGCGGAAGCAGTCAACTGGGCAAACATCCACACAATCGGTATAACGACATTTGATGCAGTTTTCGATTACCACATGGGTCATAACACTATACTCCTAAACAAGGATCTAAAAAACCAAAAAATTAATAGCTTATTGATTAAACATCTCAAAGTATGGGTTGTTTTGAAAGCTGTCTGCAAAGCGGGTGTTGCAAATTAACTCATCAATAGGCGTCTTAAGACGGTCGGTCTCCACAGATAATTTTTTTGTGGAGGCATTATTATAATCAAACCTAACATGATTGCCTAGAGCAAATGCTAGTCTATTAGTACAAAAAAGCTCAATTTACTCAATATCAACGATAGCTACGGGGTTAGTCATTAAGCCAAGAACAAAACATGGCTTAATGAACACACAGGTTTAAACATTAACGTGATCTAAATCAGGTTTTAAATCGGTTTCTGTGTAGGTATTTTGAAAGACCATTTTTTCTGCTAATGCAGGGTCAACCTTGTCACGATCCACATAAAATTGTTGATACCATTGACGTAATTGATAAACTGGCCCATCACCTTCGCACAAGACAGGATTGTCAATACGAATTTTGTTATCCCAAATGGCTACGTCTTCAGCAAAAGCGTCTTGAGACTGTTTGACATATGCTCTGGCAATTTCACGGTTTTGCTCTTCACTCATTCCTGGATATTTCTTGACCATCACACCAAAGTTGAGCATAAAGCTGTTATTATCGATAGGCACATGAGAGTTTAATAACAACGCATGAATGGGATTTCCGCCCATTTGTCCAGTCATTTCAGTAATTTGGTAGGCGGGCCCAAAATAGGTGGCACGGGTTTGTAAAATACCATCCTCGGCTAAACGTTCAGACGATGCCACCAAAACTTGTGTTGCAATATGTTTTTCAAACACATTAGCGTAATATTTTACAGGCGCACCATGTACTGGGCCAAAATGACCAATATCAGCGACATTATCGACAAGTTCTCTACAGTTAATATTGATTTTCCAGGAAATCATTTCCCAAGGCATCCATTCCCCGTTAATACAGGCTTGCATCTGAGGAGGCTCAACTTCTGGGTCGGGAGGTAAATTTTCTGGATCGTTCCAAATAAATAATAAGCCATTTTTTTCGAGAGTTGGCCAAGCTTTCGTCTTAGCTTTTGGAGGGATGCGTTTGCAATAAGGAATGTCAGTACATTTGCCTTCGCCGTTCCAAGCCCATGCGTGGAAAGGACAAACCACATCATTACCTTTGACAAAACCTTCAGAAAGATCACCGCCCATGTGTACGCAGTAAGCATTCAAAATGTTGATTTTGCCATCTTCCCCTTTAAAAACAACAAGCTTTGTTCCAAAAGCCTCAATCTTATGAGGCTTGCCGTCACTAAATTTGTCTAATGTCCCCAACATATGCCAGCCCCGTGCATAACGCTCGGGAATTGCTGCTGCTTGTATTACACCATATTCTGCTGTAGCCATGATTTTCCTCCTGTAAGAATTTTATGAGCAAATGTACTCCAAACCTAGCCAAAACCATTCATTCATTCGGACTAAAGATTGAATGATAAACCATTTCCATGCGCAGTAGTTAACGTGGAATTCCATTTCATCGTAATAGATAAGAATCAAACAAGTTAAGTCTATTGCCTATTCTAAGTAACACCTATGTGCAATTTAACTTGTCATCTATTATTTTTATTGAATCAACAGGGTTATTGCTTTGATCTGTGACCTTGTGGCTAACCTTGATTCAAAAAGGGGAATCATACTTTTAAAGTCATTATAGTAACTTGTTGATGATCATTAATTTACATGATATATTACAGGCGACTGTCAAGTAGACGGTCGCGACAAAACTTCATCGTTTGTTAAAAATCAATTGCATAGAGGGGTAAATTGGATTTTGGGGAATATTGAACTATATATTAACCAAATTTTGTCTAACTCAAATAATTCCTGCGTCGTGGTTTTGTGTTCACGATGAGTGTTGAGATACAACTATATTTCTACAGTGGTCAATTAAGTTGAGAGATATGACATTCGTTAACAATTCAAACCTAGTGTTTATAGAATTTGCGCATACAATAGAGTTGTCAAGTAAATATATTCGTGTCAATTTGAATCAACCAGGAGAAATAAAATGAAAGTAATCACAACAGAAGTTAGCCGTACAGTAACAGGTGGCGGATTTTTAGGTGACTTGGTCAGTAAAACCGTTGCAACTGTGGTCGATGGTATGATGCCAGGTATGGGATCAAAAATTGGACCTAAAGTAGGTCAGATGATCGATGGTACTAAAGAAGGCACTGGCGGTACAGGAACGGCAAAACCAGCTGCGAAGTAATTCGCCTAGTAGACCAGACAATAAAAGGTGGCAGATTGCCACCTTTTTTGTATTGAAGTTTTTTGATGCTATAAAACTCATCAAGTCATTTACGAGTTAGCCGCTTGTAGTATTCATATGTTGACAGAGTCAATAGTAAAAGCAATAGATATAAAAAACAAATTAATCTTTTTCATTGGGAACTTCTTCTTCCAAAAGTGGTATTCGGATTTCAAAAGTTGAACCTTCGTTAGGCTTGCTGCGAACATTGATCGTACCATGATGTTTTTCTACAACAAGTTTCACAAAAGCAAGTCCTAGTCCTACTCCATCAATACGCGCCTTAGAATGGTCTTTAGATCTTTGATAGCGTTCAAAAAGTCGTTTTTGATCATCTTCGCTAATGCCAAATCCTTCATCGGAAATTTGAATGTCTGCGCAATAATCGTCACTAACAGGTGATAAGAGGCTGGTACTGAGTTTGCAAGTAACCGTTGTGTGTTCAGGACTATATTTGATGGCATTATGAATTAAGTTGATGAAAGCTCTTGTCAGTAAGTCGCGGTCTCCTAAAACATACAGGACATCTTCGCAAAAATCGCATTTGATTTTAATGTTTTTCTTTTGTGCCAAAGGCCAAACTTGATCAACAGCATCTTGTAAAACATCTTCACAATTAACTTCTTGATAGTTGTAACCAGCACTTTCTGCACGTGCATATTGAGCAAAGCCATCTGAAAGCTCAAGAGCACGTTTGGTGTAGTTTTCAATTTGATCAAAGAGTTGCTTGTCATCTTTGGCGTTAGGGTTGGATTTTTTGTATTCTAAAAGTGCCAAAATTGAAGACTGCGGTGCTCGCATGTCGTGAGATAAGAAGCGAAGCATCTCGTCGCGTTGGTTTTGAGCGGCACGCATTTCGGTTAGGTCGATAAAACTGACAATCCAGCCAATCACAATATCATCACTGTCGCGACAAGCGGAGACCTTAATTAGCCAGTCACGACCATCCGTGTCGATAGCTTCTACAGAATAGCTGGTATCAGCGTCATAAGCTTTTTGTTTGCCAATGGACAACAACTTATCCCAACGAAATGATTTGTCAGCATTGGTATCGGTTAGGCGGATTTTATTGCGTTCCGCCAGATTCGTAAGGATTAAGGGCAGTTGCGCACCATGCAGGGTGGCGACATTAAAGGACTTAAAAAACTCTCGAGCAAGCTCGTTGGTCACCAAAATGTAACCTTCAGGATCGGTTACGACGGCAGCATCGGGCAGGCTTTGCAAACTAAAATAAATAAATCGCCTCAGATTTCTAACGCGTTCAATGGATTGATTTAAAACCTCAATGTGACCGCCGACAATGTCAATGGTTGGCTTTTCGCCTTTATGTAAAACCGTTTCAGGAAGAAGATTGGGTTCATTTTCAAGAAGTTGTGCTTCTTGCCCCATGTAATCTATGGCCGTTTCTAGTCTGCGCCAGCTCCATAGTGGATAAGCTACAGCTATACCTAACAAAGTGGTTGCAGGTGACCACCAGATATAAAATTTTGATAATAAAATAAAAGCAATAAAAAGCGCCGAGAGAATTAAGGTGATGGCTAAACTTAAATTAAAACCAGGGTTAGAGAAAATGAGGTGATAAAACAAAACAGAAAAGAAAATCAAAGGTAGCAGAACTTTTAGGGCCGTTGGCGCTAGTTGAAAAGAGGTGTTCGTTAAAAAGGCATTGAGAATATTGGCGTGTAGCTCAACCCCTGGCATAGGCGTGCTATTGCCCGAGTTAGGTGTTGAATAGGAGTCATTAAGACTTTGTGAGGTAACACCAATTAACACATATTTATTTTCTAGCATCTCAGGAGCGACGTTGCCAGATAGAATTTGTGTATAAGAAATCATGGGATATTTGTACGGTGCAGAACGATAAGGGATCAAAAAGCGACCAGAACGCTCCCAACCCATGATATCGATCGTGATGTTCTTGGTAGGCAAAGGCATTTGCGCAAGTGGGTGCTGACTTTTGTAGAGTTGCCACATCAAGTGAGGCCACATTTCTGTGTGATCGCCTTCTTTTAGCCAAATATTGCGAACGATACTGTCATTATCTAAGCTTACACCGATATGACCTGTGCCTGTAGAAGCTTCTTCAAAAATACCTAGTGGTTTCATCGCTTGTACAGGTTCAATTTCTGTAGCAACGGTATTAGGTGCGATCGGTAAAAAAATATTTTTAAATTTTTTCATGGCATTAGCAAGTTCCGTATCTGCTTGTTCTGATTCGGGCTCATTAAAAATTAAATCAAATGCTACTGCTTTGGGGTTATAGTCAACGAGTTTATTTAACATCTGCGCATGTACCGTACGAGACCAAGGCCAGCGCCCTAATTTAACTAAACTTGGGTCATCCACGGCAATAATAACGATGTTAGGATTGGGAGGCTGTTGCAAAATTCGCAAAAAAACATCGTACATGCCTTGATTGAGTCTTTCGAGAGGCACAACAAACTCAAAGGCAAAAGCTGTCATGCAGATAACGGCAAATAAGGTTGCCCATTCCCTTAATAATCTACGCGAAAGACGTTCCTGTAAACCAGAGTCTTGACGCTTTTGGTAGCGATCGTTGGTGAGTTGACCTAGGCGGTCACGTACACGTTTTATTGATTTTTTGATATGATTGGCGACCATGGGCACAAAAGCCTATTTAGTGCAGCGTCTGTGGCACGGTGTAATTTTGTGTGACTGAAACATTTTCAGCGCGAAGATTGCCTACAGAGCGAGTGGCTTTAACTCGCCAGTAAACGCTAGGCGCTGGTAAATGTGACATCAAAACGGCTTGTGCTTTACTATCGGACCACGACCACAAAATGTTTTTAAAGTCTGGATCAGATGAAAGTTCAAGAGTAAACAAAGCGTTAGGATCGCCTTCCCAGCTAAAGCTGTGCATAGTCCGATTGTTGTTAGTTACAATTTTTTGGGCTAAAACTTGTTTAATGGGGTTGTATATTAGTGTCAGTGGGTGCTTACTTACTCTTCCTTCCATGCCTTCTGCATCAGATGCAGTGAGTTCCATTTGATATTCGCCTGAAGGAAATTGACTGACATCAAACTCTGGAGCTTGATTTTTAAGAATTTGAAAGGGATTGACATCATTTTTTTTGAAGAGAGTGATGTGGTACTGCGTAGCATCAGAAATAGTTGAAAGACGTATTTTCCCTTCTTGCAAAACGCCATCGGACATATTTTGCCAA